GATGAGCGCGGACGTTTAGTTTGACTCGAGCGTTACATTATGACGAGAGCTGAGCAATGACGTATACCACAATCGGTGGTGCAATACGCCACTACACGTTGCGTGTCTATTTTCGTTGATTAACCACCCCGTCATCGCTCAACATAGCGGTAAACTATATATTCCGCGGGCATAAAGATCGAAAATGCCGCGATTACTTATACATTCGACACGCTTCAAGGCGAGCCTCATCGTAAAGAAGTTTTAAGACGCGCGCGGAACTACAGGATAGGAGGAAAAATATGCGAATAAATTAAATCGTACTTTCTATAAGTATATAATGCAGTCGATCGCGGATACGTGATATAAAAAATTTTGTTTTTGAAATTTTCCTTAAAAGAAAAATAACAATAATGCTGCCGATCGAGAAGTGATAGTTTCAAACTAGACATCTTGTTCAAAGTTATATTAACAAGTTCGAAGCATCATTGTGTCTTGCAAGGAAAAAAACGATACCCTTCGTCGGGTCTTAAAATCCCGATGCATGTATGTTACGTGAACTAATTCGCTCAGTAAACGATCAAAGGCAGCCCCGCGTGAAATTCCGTGCGCGAAGTCGATAGCACGTGACCGGTTTCGGTTTAGTGGAAAACGAAATGGGTCTGACAGGCGGGCGGAGGACGAAATAAATCCTTGCGCGAGCATTATAATGAAATATCGCCGGCGTCGGAACGCGGGAACCGGGGACCTAGGATTATGGAACAGAGCCACTGGAACTGTGCCTTAAAGTGGAACTTTAGTCCTCGTGAAACGTGTCGGTCTCTCTCTCCCGGACGGGACTTATTAACATTTTATAGCGCAGATTTAACAGCGGAAATGTGCGTTGTAAATTTTGATCGCGATTCTGCAATCTTACGAAAAGCGTCGCGAGAATGACGTCCTTGTATCTCGTCCTTTAATCCTCGCTAATATAAAATTATACAAATTGCTCTCTTTCTTTATTTAATAAAATATGATATACTCTTTAAATACGAGAAACATATATAATTGACATTAAAATCGCTCAGTTTCGAAAGACGATTTGAATATGTTATACAATCGTTAGCACTCGGTTCGTAATCGCTAACAGGGTCACCGTGTTAATCAAGACCACCGCAGGATGCAAGAACAGGACGCAAACCTTTAATCCATTTGCGCCCATAAGCATAAACTGCCTATTATCACTATGGATGTTCGTTCTAACGCGAACAAAGCGTAGCCTGAACAAACGCTCATAACTAGCATTTAAATTTTCAAGTTTCTCTAATAATCACGCTGATCATCGGAACAAGATCCAATACTCGAAAAAATAGTCGAAAAAAAATTTTTTATTAAATTCGTTTCGCGCTCGTTTTCGCCGGCGTTATTTTCCCGCACAATCATTCCATCGATTACGGCATCTTTCCTTGATTGAGATAGCGGCTGGCCTGTACAAAGATTAAAGAAACCGTCGGCGCGTTAAAAAAAAAAAACCGGATAGAAAAGGGTCAGAGTAATCCGCGCCCACGGAAAAAAAACAAGGCTTTCGACGATGATTTCCGCAGCATAGATTAACCTGCTAGAATGGGAATTCGCGTTTGTCTTTTGCGGCCGCAAAGCATCGTACAATTGTGCGGTTAATTGTTGTCGCACGAAACGACGCTCCTCTCGCATTACCGGTTCACACACGATTGCGTCACAAATGCGTGCCGGTTTCTGCGGCCTTGAAAACGCGATGTCAATGTTACATGATATCCTTCCATTTATTTTTCTTTTGCTCTGCTTGCATTTTGTAGTTTACCGCCTCTAATGTAATTTAAGACGAGAGAGAGGGAGAATAAAAGTTGCTTCATTTTTCGACTACTCTCAATTTTCCGCCAAGAACGATACGTCGTATATCCGACGTGATACAAAACATACAGTATGAAACGTTAATATCGAACACGTGCTGCTCACTCGAGCGAGAATAATTTTCTGCATAGACGGCACTGATAAGCGCTTAGAGATGGATCGTATGTGAAAGAACGTCGTTGTATCTCTTCGTCAAGCAACACATTAACCGATTAAGCTTCGAATTTAAGCTGTGTACACACGTATCAACGCGCAGTTACCCGGTCAAGATCGCACAGAGTTGTTACGACAATATACGCGATAAATTAATTTTTACCTATACATCTCACAAATTTACACAACCCGATCATCGCGTATTTGTTCATAAAATTCTTTAAAATTAGGTCTAAGTAATAATTTAAACACACAAAATCATGATTAAACAATAAATTTTGACACAAGATTTAAACAAATGCTAGATTTTTGTATCACTTGCTTCGACGAGTAAACCTTAAGGTCGCGACGGTAAAGTTATCGCTATCAAAGGAAATTGCGGAAATTCCTTCGAGAGACACGATGATATTTCGCGTTGCACCGAACTGAAAATACGGTGCGAATTGCCGCAATTTTAGCGCGACCTTTGATCCGCTTCCGTCAACTAGAGAAGAAGAATGTTTTCGCATCTCGACTCGAAGCGTGTTTTCCGCAGCAAAATGTTATATTCATGTCACGCGCCTAATATGCAATTCAAACAAAGTTCTGTCTCACGGCTTGCGTTGCAACAATTTGCGCGCTTGTAACATTTATGAATCATTTGCCGCGTCACAACATCACCTACGTTACATAATAAAAAGGTCACGTGTCGTGCGATAGCGAGCAAGCTACAACACGTGGAAAATATCTACAAAATTGACATCAGAATTTTTCGATACAGGTATGATAAACGATTCACGTGGAAACATCGACATTTAATTGATCAAAAATAGTGTCAACTAGAATAAAACGTATGCTATATCAAGCCACATCTACGTAGATTATAATACTGTCAGTTTTTAATTATTAAGAACATTACAGAGGCAAATACGTCACAGCTTAATCGAAATGGATATTCACGGAAATACGCGCATATATTTGTTAACTATTCCAATTTTAACCGCAAAGAAAATTTAGAACCAGAGAATCTCGCGTGCCAGAATCGATCGCGTTTCCGCGCGAGGCAGAACCGCCGTTAATACGCGTTAATTCGCATTATCTTTATAATCTAAATCAAGCATGTGGTCGAGTGCCGCCGATAGAATAAAATGAGATTCGTCGGCGTTACGACGGTAGAATGAGGTAGCAAAATCACGTCAAGGCTCTTGTTGAGTTGGCCTTCGCCGTGGCTCAACAGATCTAACTATCGAATATTTAAAATTGTAGCTAGCGCAAGAGCTGGTTGTTTCATAGTCACGATTATGCGCGTCGTCTCTCTCTTTCTCTCTCTCTCTCTCTCCTCTTTCTCGCGATTACAGAAGTCGAATAAATTATATGCCGCGATCGGATCTCTTAAAAGAAAAAGAGAGAGTGCACTTGAAAATACTTTTTATTTTTCAGGAAAAAAAGTAAATCATTTCCTGAATATATATTAAGCAATATAAAATAATTTTTGAATACATCTAAATATTTAAAAGAATGTTGAATATATTAGAACGACATGAAAACCTTTAAAATACTACCCTGCAAAATTTTATTTTCCGTTATCTATGTATCTTTTTTTGGAAACTAGTCCGACTTATATTTTTTAATCTGTTAAAAAATGAATAAATAATGATTTGATTGTTCAACTTCAAAAAATTGTAATTTTATCAAAAGTTGCAAACGATTAAAATCGCCAAAAAAATTGACTTTATTCAAATCGTGATAAAAATGCAGAAAGAGTTTACTCATTGTCAGCAAGAAGCATCGATCAAAGTGTAGCCAACGAAAAGAAAGTAAAAAAAAAAAAAAAAAATATTCTGATTGACTTAGTATTTAGAAAAAGAAACATAAAGATAGGCAATTTTATCTTACAATTTCGCAATTGCATTCTCTCCTCTTTAATTCGCGTCGGACAAACAGGAAATTCCAACATGAATTAAGAGATCTAATCAAGAGTTAGAAAATTACACGATCTATTTTAGCCAATAATAGATATATGATGTACGATAATTATTTTCGTTCTTGTAGAGAAAATTTATTTCTTGTAAAGAAGAATTTCTACGGCAAATTTCTAATTTCTCATAAACTAAATAAGGCACATGAAAGTGGATATAGATTTGCAGTGGTTGGCGAGAAAATTACGGTGGCGTGTTCAGTGATAAAAGTATACGGCATGACACGGGCGGATCGATGCAACTTTTTCCACTTACGCGATTATCTCGTTTCACCACTTACAATAAACGACAAGTCTAAGATGTGCCGCTAAATTGGATAATAACGAGGAAAAACCGTTTCTCGAGTATTTTTTTTTTTTTTTAATCGTACATTTTTTGTAGGCGCTTTCGCGATAAACGGATGTTAGAAATATCCGACGGGAATTTGACGAATTGATTGACACGCTTATGCGATGCAGATACCGAGAATTGCAGCGAAATTTAATGTCCGTTTAATAAGATATTTATTAATTAATAATCGCAGCGATATATCTTCATCAACTATTCAAATTGTGACATAATTATGATTACATTTCCAGTATCACTTCGCTTTGTGTATGCATCGCGTTGAACATAAATCATATAATTGACGCATGCTGTTCTACAGTATATACAGTGCACGCAAATAATTATTATCATTAATAACAATTAACATTATCATTAATAATTATATGCACAATATTCCACAGCGAAATACTGTGTATATATATTTTTTTTTCACACATTCCAAAAATATGAAATATAAAATAACATATAATGTATACAGTGTTATGTATACATCACATTTCCCCGCGAAATCTAATTATCCATTATATAATCTATAAATAATTTCAAGAAAGTATAATATCGTAATCACGTGATCTCGCGAAAAAAAAATATCCACAAAATCGAATCATTCCGTACATATAAATCTCTTTCAATGCACGCTTGTGTTCAATGCATCCTTGTTTTCCAATCATGTGCTCACGTGATTACGAAAAAAATATTGCAACGTTCACTCACCCTGGAGATGCGCAGAGGTTGATGTGTGTCGCATCCGCCGTGCATGCGGAAGCCCCAGGGGGAACCGCCGAAGAGGGTGACTTCTCTGGCGCTCATCCCGCGTCGACAGCCAGCAAGTCGTCGACACGCGCATCCGTTTTTCCCGCGTACGCGTTTTATCTACGCGTATCTGGCATCTCGCGAATCGCGCCGAGTTAAGGACGAGACGACGGCTCGCGTCGGCGTCGCGTACAAAGATCACAGATCGTAGTCCGTTGTCACACTCGCGACTGTCAAAATTTTCTTCGCGACGAGGGCGGTGGAGTCGGGGCGAAGAAACCGCGTCGTTGACGACGACGACGACGTATGGACGCGATGACGCCCACTCACGGCTGACGGCAAACACGACGTTAAATCTCGCGCGCGCGCACGCGCGCGATCCGCACTCGTCCGTGGCTCGCGTTGAACTGACAGCGCGCGTCCTCCCTCCCCCACCATCACGCTCCCACGCACGTCGTAATCCGCGCGTGTACCTTCCCCCACCACCACAGATCTCGTACTCGCGCCGTCCGCGGGGGCGCGTGATCTCCCTCAAGACTGCTTCGGGAAATGAGCTTACCTTCGTTTTATATTCATGGATCTCATGACTATTTGCTTCTCTCTCTGCCGCAAATTTCCGCGGATTATTTGGCAACATATTTGATTTCTTTTCAATTGATTATTTATGAAACACTTGCAAAAAAATCCATTGAACGGCAACCCGAAATTCTGAGTTTTGCGGGGAGCCTACAAATCCGATCCTGGCTTTCCCTCTATTCATTTTTTATCCGCCATGCGCTTATCTAGTCATGATTATCCCGGTACGCGTTTTATCGTCTTCCACACGGTGACGCGTACTCTTGGGACATTTTCACGCGCGATTAACACTGGTTGCTCTTCCTTTTTCAAGCGTCTAGGATGAAAAGAGAATTGCACTCTTTTGTATTCTTTAGCAGTTCTTCGATGATTCGTTTCTACTGCAAAGAGGAAAGATCGTCCTTCTCTCCATGATATCCTGAAAAATAAAACATATTAGTTAGATGGTTGTAATATTAAAAAGGGAAAATAAAACGTATACATTTATTTTATTTTATATATGTTATAGTTATTTTCGTGTGTATAAAAGTATCGTAATATATTCTATAAGTACATACACAATGCCTATATAGTAGAATAAGCGATTAGTAATCTTAGAAATCGACACCACAAATTTAAATGAGAGAAAAGAAAATGGGTACTGGGCGTTTTCGATATATATAAATAAATTTTCCTATGATTAAAATCAAATCCAGAGTTCCTGGTGTTTACTATTATAATTCTTTAAAATTGAATACCTTGTATAGTGTATAAAACGACATATATCCTTGAATTTTTCTTTGCGTGCGAAGAATCCGGAGAACTCTGCTAAACTGCAACGGTCAAATAGCGCTAAAATTAAAAGGAATATGGCGAAATCAGTGACATCTTCAATCAACTCCACGAAACTAGAAACGAAATGAGTTGCTTTACCAACATACGTTCAATCGAAAATGACAAAAATTATATCTCTTCCTTTTTATTATTAAAAAACTATCCTTAAAAAAAGGAAAGATAGCGTAAAAATTTCTTTAAAATTTAAATATACTAATTTTTAAAAATTAATTAAGTCTTCGAGAGTAAAATTCGAAACCTAACAGGATATGACAGAAAAAATATGGCAGCGTTCTCTTTTCGACACACGTGTTTGCTGGACACTGACGTGAAACATATTCGATTTTCAACAAATGCAACAGCTGCATTTTGTAAAACAAATCTGATTTAGACGTAAAAGTATAAATTAATCATAAGGGCAATTCTTACGGATTTTTTTTACCGAACTCACTTATAATGTCTGCTGATAATACCATTCTTGTAAATAAAAATTTTGCCGGGCAAAAATACCAAAATAATAAAAATCGCAATAATAGGAGATCCGAATGGAAAGGTAATTTATCGCTTGTTACAACAATAAACATTTGATATGGCTCTGCAGTGATTAAAAAGAGATTATTCTTGTTAAGGTGGTGGCCAGAACAATTCTGACCGAAGAGGCTTTAAACGTAATTTTGACCAATCACTAGGAGAAAATACAAAGAGGAATAAATTGGATGTCGGCAATAGACTGAAAGAATGTGATTTAGGGATTACGGAATACATCAGCAAACACCCTGGCTTTTCTGCAATAATTAAAGAGAGATACACTGATTTCCATGTCAATGAAATAGACCTTGATGGGCAAGTAGCCAAGCTGACCCATCAGGATATTCCAAGTAACTCAGATAATAATGTAAATATCGAAGATCTAAGAACAATGGTGTCATCAGCAATATGGGACCAACTGCAAGCTCTGAAGGAAAATCCTTCGAGTATACAGATTGATGTAACAAATGTAGAGAAAACTGAACGTAGGATTATTCATACAATCGCAAAAAATTTGGCAAATGTTATCAGCCAAACGACAGACAAAGATGATAAGAAATTTATCACGATTATTCCATATACTAAAAACTCTAAGAATGGTAAGTTATAAATTTGTTTATATCTAATTTATATACTTTTTCATTTCTCCTATATTACAGATCACAAGATACGCAAAGACAACAGAGTAGATTGGAAAAAACGCGATGGCGATTATTGTCACTTTCTATTGCATAAAGTAAATATGGATACAATTGATGCTTTAAATCAATTGGCCACAAATCTGCGACTACGACCCAACAATTTTGCTTATCCCGGTACAAAAGATCGTCGAGCGTGGACGACTCAGTGGGTGAGTTTGAGAAAGGTAGATGCAGGAAACATATTGAGAGCAAGTAAAAAAATACATGGCGCATATGTAGGGAATTTTAAATACGCTAAAAACAGCCTGAAATTAGGCATGCTACGTGGCAATCAATTTAAAATAGCATTAAGAAATGTTTGCGGAACAGATGAAGAGATTGAGCAAGCAATGACATTGTTTCGCGATAATGGCTTCATTAATTACTATGGTTTGCAAAGATTTGGTACAGTAGCTTCTATACCCACACACGAAATTGGGAAACGTCTACTTCAAGGTAATTATTGTTCTCCATATTATAACATGTAGAACTTTAATTTAATGGATATATATCACTATAATTTTTTTGCAATTAGGTAAATGGCATGAAGCAATTGAATTAATTCTGAAACCACGACCGGGAGAGCAGGACAAAGAATTGGCAGAAGCTAGACAAATTTATGCGGAAACCAAAGATGCTCATGCCGCTTATGCCAAGATCAAAAGAATCGACAAAATTGAAGCGCGACTTTTGAAAGGTCTACAAATATCGGGCGAGAAAAATCCTTTAGGCGCGCTTGACTCTATACCTCGAAACATTCGATTAATGTATATCCATGCTTATCAAAGCTTTGTTTGGAATCGTATTGTGTCGAGAAGAATAAATCAATTCGGGACAAATGTAATTGTAGGTGATCTAGTTTATGATAAACAAAGCTGCCAAGAGAATATAACTGATGAAACTATAAATTATCCTTTGAATGATAGTGATGACATCAGAGAAACTGATGTTATCTCTCCTGAAGAAATAAATATCGATCCAGCAGCAAATGAAGCAAGTGAAGAAAATTTGGAACAAAATAATTTTTCAATAGTAAAAAGTCTTAAAGAAGAAGATTTACCAAATTATACTTTAGCCGATGTAGTTGTGCCTCAACCTGGGTGGAAAGTTACATATCCATCGTATGCTAAAGCTTGGTATGACGAATTTTTAACAAAGGACGAATTAACTACTAATCTTAAACAAAACAATAAGTAAGTTTTTTTATCTACAAATTTAATATAGCAATAAATTGTTACTATCGTTTGTGATCTTTTCTAGAAAATATAGTTTGAGTGGTGCCTATAGAAAAATATTACAAATTCCAATGAAATTGTCTTGGAAAATTATGTATTATAAAGAAAAACATGATAATCTTATTCTATCAGATATTGACGAAATGAGAAAGCTTGTATCGCCGCAGAATAATCCAGGTAAATAGGTTATTTTCACATTTATACAAAACGTTTATTTAAAAGAATTTCCATTATATATAGGCTACTTTCAGATGGAAAGATCAAAGCATTAATCATTGAGATGTGTTTAGAGCCCAGTACTTATGCCACAATGGCCCTGCGCGAAATTTTAAAAAACGATACTTCAGCAGAAACACAGGTTGCTTTATCTGCTTCTTATAATATAGAGAATGTACAATGCAGTACAAGTACTGCAATGTAATTGCACAAATTCAATAGAGGTTGGAACAATATAATACAGAAGAGAACTATATCAAGTTTCAGAACAAATCTGTTAGGGGGGGGGGGGGGGAAATGGGAATGAAAATAGATGATGTAGAAGATACATCTCCAAAATATATCAAAGTTCAGTGTAAAAACAAAAGTAATTTTTATAAATCATCAATACATATATATGTATTACATGTATATATTACATGTATATATTACGTATATACATCTAATACACACACATACTTGTATTACATAAAATTGTATTAATATTCATATATATCTATATATGTGCATTTCTCAGTGAAAACAAGAACACTAGAAATTAATTGATCCAGCGACAATAAAAAACTTTTTCAATGATTAAGACTCTTTCAATGAATAATTTATTAGAAAATAGTTTCTGCCTTTATAAACAAGCAGCCATCAAACCTGCCACATTTTCGAAATCAATTTTTTCAGTAATATTTTTGGTCTTGATATTTTCATCTTGATTTGCAATGAAAATGATTGATTTGCTCTCTTCCTTCCAGCCATACTTTTTTACCCAATGCTTCAATGTTGCATCTACAAAAACATGAGTTGATAAATATCATCGTATAATATTAAAAATAACGAATTTTGTATATATATATATAACATACCATCTACACCGCCAAGCAATTGTGCCAGCAATCCTTTTTCTATTGTTTGAAACGTGATACCGACTACATGACACACAAACTTTCTTATCGAATCCTGGAATCCTACAATTCTATCGCAAAGTTCCGACATGGATAATACTTTATCCCAAAAATTTTGAAAATCACATCGCTCCAAGATGTCTCCCAGATACATGATTTGACTAATGGGACTTTCTGACATCTAGAGATTTATATAAAATATATAAATATAGCATTCATCAAAGAAAAAAAAACTATCCTATACTTTAATCAAACTTACTAGTTTCTCGCTGAGTAAACATTTGCACAGCACAAAGTCAGTGTGCGGAAGATTGGTTAAAGCCTTCAATAGTATCTGACATGTAATATCCATATTGAATCGGTGCGGATTTAATTGGTAAAGCTTCAGAACAGCTAAGTTTGCCTCCAAGTCATAAGCATTCTCCCTCGATTGTATTTCCACATATTTCTCTAAGGTTGTGAGATTATCTGGATTGTACCTGAAAACATATGTACTCCAATAGTGTAGATAACAAATGAGGAAAACATTTAATTAAAAATTAGAAAAGTGAGTAAACATACGCGATGAATATTTCTAATGAATTTTAATTCTTTATTTCCATGCAATAATATATTTTTAGGCAATAGATTAGCAGTTTCGTTAAACAGATTATTTAAGTAGATAAGACTGATTACGGAAACAAGCATAAAAAAGAAATACCTTTCGATGCCTTTGAGCATTCCAGCCACAGTTTGCCGCATTGCCTCAGCCATTTTCGTTAATTTCGAAAAATTTCAGACTAATAAACTATTGTCGGCGTTATTGAAATGTAATCTGTAACCTCAAAACACACACGTGCAAGACCATAGAAAGAAATTATGAGAATTACAAAATGGAAGAAGTTTCAGACTAGATTACAGCCAATAGAAAATATTTCTAACCTCAGTATTGGACAAAATGCGTCTAATGTTTGAACTTACCGGTGGTATTTGCGGTATGACAGCAAACGAACAAACTCGCAAACTAGCGAGATGCGAAATAGGAGCTGACAGCTGATGAGAAAATTTGAATGTGTATGCAAGAGTGGTTATTATACAAATACAAACATCAATATATCAAATATACATAAAGCAATAATTATTTTCCGAAATATATTGTTTTCCATGGTGTAAGTAACAAGGTGTGCTACCGCGCAGGCATTTCTACTGACTGAATTTCCTTATGCATAAGGAAATGGACCAATCAATTTCTTTATGCTTATGATTATGCGCTTATGCAAAAGTGTGTGCTCCCCGCTTATTTCGTTTACATTGGCCGCGTTCAGCAGAGAAAGCGCTCAGTTATCGTCTTGTCAACACTCGATGTTGATTCGTTGGTTCTAAAAGTAAGAACCAATCACATTCGATTGCTACTAAGCGGCCATTTATCGTCACGTTGCTTATCGGTTGCTATGGTGATTTTGCAAGATGGCGGAAACTTGATGCTGCGCAGAAGGTGACGAAAATTCGTCCGAGAAGATAGCACACCTTGTTACTTACACCATGTTGCTTTCAAAGCCGGATAATAGCATTTGACAAGTATGGCCAAACATCATCCAGATTTGATTTTCTGTCGTAAACAGCCGGGAGTCGGTAAGTCGAGGTTAAGTCTAATCTTATCTCTAACACTTTGTGTAATTTGTTATAATTGTCTTTTAGCTATCGGCCGGCTTTGTGAGAAATGCGATGGCAAGTGTGTCATTTGCGATTCTTATGTGAGACCTTGCACATTAGTCAGAATATGTGACGAGTGTAATTACGGTTCCTATCAGGGACGTTGTGTAATATGTGGAGGTCCCGGCGTATCGGACGCGTATTATTGTAAAGAATGCACAATACAAGAAAAAGATGTAAGTTTGTCATTAAAAAGAAAAACATTATGTACAATAGAATTATAAATTCTTACATAGTAAATTGAATATCTCAATAAATGTTTTCAGAGAGACGGCTGTCCTAAAATAGTTAATCTAGGAAGCTCAAAGACAGATCTCTTCTACGAGAGAAAGAAATATGGATTCAAAAGAAGATAATCGCAAGATATTGTATTTCTCTATGTAATTTTTGTTGAACATAACATTGAGCATCAGGTAATTTATAATTTTTACAAAAATATTATCATAGCAATAACACATTTGCATTCTGTAATATAATTATAAATACTAATTTTATAATAAAAGACAAATAAATCTGAATAATGCTCTGTAAACTTAAATACAATTAGGACAATTTTGAAAAAAATTAAAATTTAATATCAAAATTGACTAAAACAAAATACATCTCTGTAAAAGTACTCTATAATGTAAAATCACATTGTACAATATAATTATATAAAATGTATAAGTATGTCAGGGAATATATCTTTATATTATATTATCTTTTATTATAGAATTGTCATGCTTATGTTAAAATTAATGGTGGTTCTTCTGATGGTGGTAACTCATTTGTTTCTTGCGTCTCAACAATTTGTCTTTTTATAATATTCCCTTTCTCATCCACTTCGTCAATAGATATTAAAATATTCGATATAACAGGCATGGATTTGCCAACATCACTGTCGGCTATTTCTTCTTGCAAATCTTGTATGGTTTCTACCTCCTCCATATTATCTTCCACAATCTAAATATAACACAATTTTAAACAGAATAAAAGTCTCGAATAATACTTAATTTAAATTACTGTAAAACTCACTTTTATTTTTGTCAACGATGTAGTCTGATTTAATTCTAGTTTATATTTTTTGTTCGATAAGTTTGCTTTTTCGACGAGCGATTCATTCTCTTCGTCCACGGCCTCATATCTGACCATTTGAAGTCTGTAACATCCGTCCTCGTCCTGTGTATAATGGAAGCGCTTATGTCCACTTGGCAATTGCAATTGATGAGTTTCTATAAGATGTTTGGTCCATCTATAACTCTGCCGATACTTAATTGGACATTCGTGACAACAGTACCATCGCACCGCTAAGCTGTGTACTCTTTCTACATGCCTATAATAAATTTGACAATTGCAATAAACAATTAATAAAACAACTTCATTATTGAAGATTTGTATAATTACCTATCTAAGGTGTAAGCTCCTTTGCATGTGTAAAGGCATCCTTCAAAATGACAAGAAAAATTTGGACCATTAGTATGGACAGTCATGTGAGAATCAAGATCCTGTTGCGATTTTGCAGCATGCGAGCATAATTGACATGGAAACGTTCTCGTCGACACGTGGCGATATCTGACGTGTTTCGCCAAGCTCGCCGGCGATTCACAGCTCATATCGCAAAGAGAACACTTGTAATTGAACACGTGAGATCTCATATGATCGCGTAGGATTCTCTCAGTGGGATAAAACTTATTACAGTGCGAACACTGGAATCCCTGTACTGTAAATCACTGTATTTTAGAAAAAATATACAAAGCGCAAGAAATCTGAGATATACGAGATTAATTCATTACCTTCCAAAGGAATTTGTCGCTGGCAATGCGTGTGAAATTTCGTTTTAGAGGCAAACGTGGCACCGCAGTCCGGACACGCGACTATTTTTTCTTTGGTATGACATTTCATATGATCGCGGAGTTTGTATAAACTAGGATATTTGCCGTTGCATCCAGTCCACTTGCACTTAACTCCATCCTTAACTCTATTGCCACGCGGACAGTCTTTCATGTGTATAGTCACATGATACAGATACATTTGATAATTTTTAAACACTTTCAAGCATTCCTCCCATCTACACATATGCGGAGATGGTGAATCTATGATATTCCTCCATTCTGGATCTCTACGGCATCTCTATACAAATACAATTTTTAATTTCGATAATCATTAATAATTAAAAATATATCAACATATATTTAATATTAATACTTACGGGAAGTTTGGTTCTTCCACGAACATTGGATCCAATACACTTGAGCTTGGTATGATAGGCATGGTAATTAACATGCTGCACTATTTCATCGCATACATCGGTGCAGTAAGAACAGTCTCTCCACTGACATACATAGACCTCATTGTCATCTTTCATGCTTATATGTATGTTTGGTATGTGATTCGAGACATGCCTCATAAATTGATCCATATGATTGCCACGAAACGTGCACGCCGTCCATTCACAGGTCAGATTCAAAACTTCATCCTTCAATTGTATTCCCACCTTGTGTCTCTTGGCGCCGCATTCTGAGACTGAGTCAAATTCCGAATCTGTGTTGTACCAATCATCATATTCGGATTCCTCCAATTTTCGCTTGAGGGTATCTTCTTCGGAGTAAGGATAATCCTGTTGTGATTCTACCCATTTGCTACATCTGTCCAGTATTTTGTTAGTCATCAACTTTTTCGCTAGATCCGCCATTATGTATAAATAATCGTAATAGATAATGTATTACATCCCATGTAAGTGTCTCACCTACAATGCAATTTATACATCAGTGAAATATCGAAAATTATTCATACATTTCTACGCGTTCAAATATGCCGCCGCGACGACATCGATGTGGAACGATGGACGCATTGATTGATCGAGGAAAGTAATAATCTTACAAATAATTTTGCATACGAATAAATAAAAAGTATTCATTCTCAATGCGTCTTTCGGTATCGGACCACGCGATGCCGTCGACTCGATTAATCTCTGATACACTCTGATACGCTTGATTATTCCGGCAGTCTCACCATGCGTAGCCACAATGTGCTACTACTGTTGCTTCGCTATTCGTTGCTCGTTTATCGTCCCGTGTTAACATCTATTTATTATCGTCGCAGATAACGCAGTGCATATTTATGCGCGCATTTCTCAAGCATACCCAGATGTTCTCCCGCGAATGTCTTATCCGTGGATTTTCTTGGTTGATAGCGCGAACTGTCGTGTCGCGCGGGATGCGTCACGTTGCCGCTACTCCTTGCACGATCAGCTGTTCCGAAGAAAGCGACCGAAGGGGCACGACAATTTGCGCGCTGTCCTCAGGTTGTCACACGTTTTCGTAGAAAATCGTCATGTTAAAATCCTAAACACAGTGTCTAATTAGTTCCTTAATTTTCTTTAATTTCCTGAAAGGTTAAGACCCGCCAATCGAGCGTCTCGTGTCTCGCCGCGCGTTTTCCCTCTCTTCGCTTGGCGGGATGTTCCATATAAGGATTGAAAATTACGGAAATGATACAGTCATTTTTTTCGTATAATCAACAATATATCTTGATTTACAATTCAGTAGATTATTAGCATGTCAAACATACAATACATTTGAAATTCAAATGCATTCGATATTAATATTCTACAGGTGAAATTAGTTTTCGCTAGCTTTTTTTTCCTAGTCTTTATACGCGGTTCTTTGAACAACGTTGTCTTGAACTTTTCCAATCTACAGATTTATCCGCTTCATTTGCATGCGAAATTAACTTTGCAGCTTACATTTCCGGATTTTTCTTTTTTTAAATGTGAACGTATATATTATTAATTCAAGTTTACGGTAGTATTTCATAGATGTAATATGTGTTTTAAAGGGCACGGAAAATGCGGCGTGGCGGTGGTAAGAATATCGGGAAGCCGATCTCTGGAAGCACTGAAAAAGATGACGAATATATCGAAATTGGAACCGAGAAAAGCTTTTTTACGGAGGATACGCGATCCGGAAACTGGGGAAGTCATTGACAATGGACTCTGTCTATGGTTTCCTGGTACGCACAATTTTATCGTGACCTTCAATTCAAGATAAGACTGTGCTCTTCCATCAATGGTCCCGAAAATTTACAGTTTGAATAAGAGAACGGTTTTCAGGTCCGCACTCGTTCACCGGCGAGGATTCCGTGGAGTTCCACGTGCACGGTGGCATGGCGATTCTAACACGATTGATGCAAGCCCTCTCGAGACTGCAAGTGCTTCAGGCTCTGCCAGGCGAATTCACCAGACGCGCTTTCTACAACAACAAGCTGGACCTGACGGAGGTGGAGGGTCTGGCCGATTTGATAGAGGCCGAGACCGAGTGTCAGAGAAAACAGGCGCTCCTGCAAGCCGACGGTGTCTTGCGCAAGCTGTACGACAGTTGGCGAAAAATCCTCTCGGAATCCGTGGCGAGTATCGAGGCGTACATTGACTTTGGCGAAGACGCTCTCAGACAGCTGATGCGAGATCTGGAAGGGCACCTGGCCGATGGCAGACGCGGCGAGATTCTACGCAACGGAATTAAAACCGTGATCGTTGGTGAGCCCAATGTGGGCAAAAGCAGTTTGCTGAATCACCTGGTGCAGCGAAATGCTGCCATCGTCACATCCGTCGCCGGCACTACCAGAGACGTCATCGAGCTGAGTGCCAATATCTCGGGCTATCCCGTGCTGATAGCAGACACCGCGGGCATCACGGACAACACTAAAGATATCGTCGAAGTCGAGGGTATCCGTCGTGCGAGAAGCTACGCGGAGAACGCTGATTTCGTTATCATCGTGATGGACGCGTTTAAGTGCGTGGCCAGCGGAATGACGTACGAAGATTACGTGCGCGAATATCTGTCATCGTTGGGAATACACGAACTGTTAGCGAAAATGGGCAAGGAGCGTTTCATCGTAATAATGAACAAGAGAGATTTACTGAAAGCGGAAGATAAACGTCGCCTGGACGATGTTGAAGCGGTTCTCATCTCTTGCAGGACGGAAGACGGCTTCCAGGACTTGCTGCAATCGGTAACAAATCGCTTCAGTAATATGTACGTATACAATGCGAGGTATAATTAACACCGACATATTTGCAAATTTGTCATTACAACAACTACGTCCTGTTTAGATGCGGCGAACCATCCGCGGAGAGTCCGACCATCAGTCAGGCGAGGCATAGGGATCATTTGACGCGGTGTCTGAGGCATCTGCGGAATTACTTCGAGTTATGCGCTGACGAGCAACACGACATGGCCATAGCGGCAGAGGAAATACACAAAGCGATGAGAGAACTCGGAAGGATAACGGGACACGTCAGCACCAATGAGATATTAGACATTATATTCAAGACCTTTTGTATCGGCAAATGATGGGCCGGTGCCACCGCATACTTTTGTACATAACAAGACGTACGTTCGCGTATTTCTCCTTACAGGATATTTTCTAATGTCTGAGAAAAAAGTAGAGCGTGTAATAAATTACGATTATACATGTGTGAATGTAGTGTATCTAAATCTAGTATATCTTTATAAACTATATACTCGCGTCTCTCTTTCATGCATACATGATAAGCGGAATATATATACTCTCGCAAGACATAAAATTGCAATGCTCTTTGAAGATATACATATGATACGATACATTTCAATCACATTATTTTGGAAAATGTCTGGTAAGACATCGATTCTATAATTTGTCTTTGCTGTAACAGGAAGACATTGAAACGGAGTTATCTGTGCATATATATAAATGTACGTATAATAAATATCTCTTTCTTGTTCGAAGAAACCTTGCTCGAGTAAGATTACGAGCAGCGCAATGAGTAAAATAAATAGAAAAGCGCCTTCATAAGCATCATATGTTTATTAACAATGTTACACGCACAATCATACATAGAACAACCTTTTGCCTGATTATAGGATATAGATACCCCACGCGTTTATACACAGATAGGGCTCCGTTATATGGTCTCAAGTCGTTATCTGTATGCTATGTCCGTGTTATGTGTGCTAATTGAAATCGTTATTATGACATTATTCTCATAATAACTCGGTTCGCTCTCGCAAAAAGGATAATCGACAGCGAAGTAATGAAAACAACACAATTCGACTGAGAGAAGGAGAAAAAGACAAAAAAAAGTAGAAATAAATCGCATACAAAAATTCGCTTCTTACCACGGACGATTATTTATATATCTTACAGCGCTGTGATATTCGAAACAGACTATATTTTTCTATCACAAAAAAAAAAGAAAGAATTGACGCTTAAATGATATCATTAGTTACACAAAGTCCATTATACATAGCTGCTAATAAAATTTTTTCATTTTTTTTTTTTATCGTATTTATCGCGCTAGATTCCCCCATTTTTACAACATTCAAATTTCGAACAAGTGCATCTGGTTCTTTGTTTTATCTTATTATTTTATTTTTCTATGGTAACTTCTTTTTTTTGTTCATTTTTTCTCCCAATTAAAGATTAATTAAATTCAATAAATTCATGTGATTCGTTGCGGGTCATTGTTCGCGACTTCTCGCTGTGTGCATAATATATCTAGGGATGAGTCGCGAACGAATTCACTATCAATATAGTATAATTACAGACCGATCCAAAAAAAAGAAAGGTAAATCGAATGATTTATATGTATATCTGTATGTGTGTATATATATATATATATATATAAATTAATTTGGCGAATTTATCACACGCAACATATCACGTCGCGCTAGATTCATCTTTCCTTTTTTTCCTATTTCTTTTTATATAAACCCAATACGTAGAATTCTCGAAGAGTAGACTGTTCGTTTGTACAATTGCATCGATTAGTTTGAGATCTATCCGAAAGCAAACTAACTCGCACTGCACGTTCGAGACGCAATTAACGTTCTCGTCACGAAGCACGCTCACGACTTGTTTTCAAGATCGTCTTCATTTTTTATCTACACGTAATGTCCTATTTTTTCTCGCTTTTTTTTTTATGAAGCCTTAGAAAACGCAATGCGATTTACATTCGATGAAAATAAAAAGCTGCTACATCGCTTCTCTTATTCTTAACACTTCTTTGTGAGATGGACGATCTCGCAAGTGTATCTGTCTAATCCTTGAATGCTACTGACATTGAGATTTCGTCTGATTTTTGATATTAAGACGAAAAATCACGGTAGAACTTAAGGATTAATTCGAACCAAGTGAACCGCGTATCTATCGTACACATCCATCAGTATAAAAAAGAAATCCAAGAGATTAATATGTGAATATGCGACCAAAATTTTATTTTTATTACGAAAATATATAAGATTCTTTTATATTGTTTCAAGAATAACAACATAATATAAATTTTCATCGCAAATTAAGCAGAAAAATTACTTGTTAAATGTAAGAATATATAATATTCTTTGTGATAAATTTTTCAAGTTTAATAACTCAATATAAATTTTTATTAAACTATCGCTCATCTTTGCAATTAAATGAATTAATAAACTTGATTATGACCATATTCGAAACACATAAATCGATCATACAACTTAAATTTAAGTAACACATTTATCTTGTTTGACACACACAAAACAGCATACATATTTGGTTCAAAGTATCGATTACGGATAAACGCA